GTTGTGCTGTCTAGCCGCTTTCATTGTAGCCATGGTTATGGTAGTGGCTCTGGTGTGCCACGCACACAGAGTTGATGTTTTTGGCATGCTCCTTGCCGCTGGTGGTGTGCCTGGTTGGGGGGGGCATCCCTGGCTCCATACTTCAGGTCCACAGGTGGCCTCTGAGGCACTGGCAGTGTGTTTGGTTGTGGGAGGAAGGTCCGGTCCCTGGCTCCATATCTCAGGTACCTGGGTGGGCCCTGACGCACTGGCGGTGTGCCTGGTTGTGGGGGGGGTGGGGGGTTGGTCCCCAGCTCCATACCTCAGGTCCCTGGGCAGGCCCCAAGGCACTGGCGGTGTGCCTGGTTGTGGGAGGGGGATCTGGTACCCAGTTCCATACCTCAGATCCCTGGGCAGGCCCTGAGGTGCTGGTGGTATACCTGGCTGTGGGAGAGGGGTCCAGTCCTGGCTCCATGCCACAGGTCCTTAAAATACTTTTAAAAAGCCCTTCAATAATTATCTTTGCCCTCATATAAAATTCAAAGCCATTAGCATTGTAGACAAGGCCTCTCAGGATTTGGCTTTAGTCCTTCCTTGAGGCCTAGCTACAGCAATTCCTTCTCATTGAGCCTGCAGCCAGCCATTCAAACTTACCTGCAGTTCACTCAGTGAGTCATTTCCTCACTCTCTACATCCTGCATGGGGGGTACCAATGCACAGGGAGCCCTTCCTTCTTCACCTTCTGGGTTACCTCTTCCCAGCTCTCTACCAGCCAGCCTCTGCCCTAAAGGCTAGGTTGGATCCCTTTCTTGTTTCCTCACACAAATCTGGGCTTTACAGACTAGACTAAGTCTACAATTTAGTTGTCTCTCATCCGCCAGTCTTATCACAAGACTGTGAATTTCTGTTTTATAATGGCAGCCACAGAAGATTAGACTACCCAGAATATTTTAGAGCTAGAAAACCCGAGGAAGAGAGAAAAGGGACCAGAATATATCTGTGGCTAGCTGGGATGGTTGAACCCTTCTAACCAGGTTTTTTTTTTTTTTTTTTTTTTTTTTCTTTTTTTCCTTTTTTTGTGCCCGGCAAAGGATCGCAC